CAACTTATCTGTAGAAGAATTATTTTTCTCTTTTAGTTTGTCATTATTGCTTAATTTTTTTAAACCTCCTCATTCTCTACTCTCTTCCCATTTTACTTAGGTGTTTCATACTCATTTTTTTCTATTCATGCCTTGATACATGGTTATGTGGACAACACTTGTTTGAAATTTATGCTGATGTGACCTGATATCTTCCAATCCACAAGAATTAGGAATCCTAGACCAATACTGTCACCACGTGAAAAAGCAAATGATAGCTATATACATCAAAAAAGAGAATGAAGAATAACAAATAGGTCAACTTTATCTATCTACGGATAAGAACAAAAATTTAGTAGACAAATATTTAAGCATCTTCTCTGGGATGGTTATTACCTCTATGTCACCTACTATTTTCTTCCTTCTGTTGTATTTCTATATAGTCTTCTCTTATCAGAGTATAAGCAACTTGAAGAGAGAATCTATGCATAATTTGGCTTTTAATCTCCCACAGCATCTAGCATAGTATCTTGGAGAGCAGCAAATACTTGATTAGAGAACAGTCAATAATTGCTGACTGAACAAATCCAACATAGCAATATACAAATAAAGAACCACCTTGGCTCTCTAACCCCTTCTTCTTAACATCATAAAACCAAAGAAAGCATCATTCTGAGTGCCTTTTGCCATTACCCACAGATAAACAATAAAATACTGTCATATTTCAACCAGTGATATCCTTGAAAGATGAAATGGCAGCACAACTAAACTGGTGCCTAGTACCTGACCCAATATACTTACCCTGATGAGACTACCAAAGAAGGCTAACACAGTTTCATGACATGTAATTATCAAATATTTATGGAGAGGGCTTAGGTACTGTGTTAGGTGCTGGGCTACAGTGGTGAGCAAGAAAGGATCTTGCCCTTAGGGAGCTTTCAGTCTATGGGAAAGACAAATTATAACAAGAAAGTGTACTAAGTTCAAAGGTAGGAGAAACACCTACAAGAGGTAGTGAAGCCAGACTTGAGGAGGGGGGTATGAAGGGGAGACTTAAAGAGGGCTTTCTGGAGGAAGCAGTAAATTGAGACCTGAAGAATGAGAGAATGAGGGAAAACTAGACAAGCAATATCTATGGAGGAAAATCTAGGCAGAGAGTACGATAGATAACATCACCCTTATTTTTAATTTTTTAAAGATTATTCTAGAAAGCTGATTATTTCACAGAACTTATCATTTTTTTTTGACAGGTAATTTATAATTCCCAACATCCCTTCTCCAAACACATTGGATCCAGTCTTTCAACATTGTAAACTGCTGAACCAGTCATTAACAAGTCTTATATTGTCACAAAACTGCCTTGGAACATAAAGTAACTAGAGATCAATTTGCTTATCTATTATTTTCTGCTGAAACTGTTAAAGCACAGAGATATACAATAGAGCATGCATATATAATAAAAAATACATTTCTTTGGGTTGGGATTATGTGCTAATTTATAATTCTAATAATTACCTATGGTATCTAATAGGATCTTACAGCAAAAGAGAATTCAGTGACTCTATACCAATAGGGAGAGTGCTCCCAAAAATCCCACCAGGAAAAAAAAAATCGACCTTATTCTTTAAATGACTCACAACTACACTAAAAACAAGCTCCACCCTAGACAATATTTTAAAACTTCAAACTCTACAATTTTGTTATGAGTAATTCGCCTTATATAACAAAATATAAAAAGCAATTAAAGGAGGAAAGTTACATGAAAATAAGCATATAGATTATGAAGAAAAAGGTTGAAGCGTTGGTAAGATCCATTTAATTACCAAGAAATAAACTTAGTTTTACATTGATTACAGTCAGTATTATTTTTATTTACCCTTACTTCATTTTAATTGAAAGCTGCCATGGCACCTATCGAGGTTTTTTTGTTTTTTGGTTTTTTTCCTTCACAGATGTCATTATGCCACAGAGAGAGTTGTCTTGTTATACATCTGGGAGTCAGCTTGTACTTATCTAAACTTCACATACAATTAAATGTTCTCAGTATGTACAGCTTTAGCTACAGCTGAATAGAGTTCCAGGAAACCCCATTAGGAGTTCCACTATTTACTCTATACCAACAATGGCATCTGGTACATTTTTGGCCATAGTGAGCACTCCTTCCATTGTGCATAACCAGACTTTTATTACTTTTATTACTTTAGTTTGATTCTCACAACATTGCAGATAAAATTTTAATTTAATTTTTTGATGTCTTATCACAGATTAAGACTACTCCTTTAGAATTAACATTGGATTTTTAAAGTAAAAATGCTATCTAAAAATCTCAAAAACAACTTTTAAGTACACCATCACCATTCACTAGCTCACTATTCACTATTTTAAGTATCTCCTTTAATCTCATACTGCTGAAAACTGAACATTTCCCTTCAACCCTTCTATCTTCAGCTACAACCTAATAAAAATGGCTAGGTTGCTAATGACCCACACAGGTACAGGTAGTTCAAGATTCCAACTGCTATTTCCAGAATTAGAATATTTACAATACCTGCTGTTTTAAGCACTCAAACTTTCTAGTTTCACAGTTTCATCAAAGTTGAGACCTGTCTTGACAAGAAAGTTCCAATTTCATTTATTCAATTTCAGACTAAATAAAAAACAAACAAACCTGATTTTCACTTAAGTGAACAAAATCAATGATATCCTACCGAGTTTCTGCTAGGCAGGGCACAGTTGTGGGGTTGCTACAGCAACTCTTGTACACTGACCACAGATTGTCCCTGTCCAGGAAGGAAATCATTTGCTCCACCCCCTGAGGAGTCAAAGGCTCTGGCAAGCAGCAGTCTGCAAGCAGGACACATTTTTAGTTCAGTAGCTGTGATGGAGCAACAAGAGACAATTCTTTAGTGTCTCTCCATACTAAATGTTACCCAACAACCAGTGTTACCCTTCCAATCCAAGTTGCTGTGTATGATTACGTAATTTGGCACCATGGTTAAGACCATATTCTTTAACCCCTCTAACTAGAAATCTGAGCTAGGGAATAAGCCAAAACCATTTCCTCCCAGACACATAGGCAAAAGCAAAAACAAAGCAAAGCAAAACAAAACAAAAATAAAAACAAAAACCCCACCAAACCCAAGTAATACATTTTGGTTCTTGTTTTCAGGATTTAACCCATGCCAATTCAGGTTCTCTGACAACTTCTGGTAGAGGAGAGCAGTCAAAAGTTAACATTTATGGAATTTGTACTCAGTGCCAACCAACCCTTCTACTGTGTGCTTTGACATGTTATTTCATTTACTCCTTACAACAACCCTGTGAGTTAGGTAACAAAATAATCCCTACTGTACAAATAAGAAATGGAGGCTCTGAAGTTATTTGATTATCCCAGCTACTAAAAGGTAGAGTCACAATTTAAACCCAAGTCTCTTAATTCTGAGGTCTTATGGTTTTTCTATTACACTACACAGATTTTTTCCAAGAAAATTCTCAGTTTTTAACTGAAATATTCAAGTGTTCCTAAAGTGACTTTGTTTTTTTTTTTAGCAATACATTTTTGTAGGTAATGACTTTACTATTGATAGCCACTTTCTTAAGTGCATAGAAAGGCACAGAAGGATATGGGGCTGCATTATGGTCCTGGTGAGGTTTTTGCTAAGTTAAACTACAGCACTCACATTCTTGAGGAGGAAAGGCAAAGTTGAAAAGTAAGTAAGGTGATGAAAATGAATTTTGATGAAGTGCTCTGTGGAACATCTCTGGGGCTGAAGAAGCTGCAGAGGGAGAGGGAATAAGAATGGGTGAAGGACACATGCAGTATTTAAACCACAGAGAATCTCTCAGCTCTATAAGTTACTTTCAAGGAAAATTCCAAGTATCCATCTGTCCATTTTCAGTTATTTTCCCACTTTAGGTTTGGAAAGGTCTTCTAACATAATACCTCTTCTCTCAATGAGAATGAATCACAGTTTTCCTTTTCCCTCCCAGGAAGTTCCACAATTACCTCCTTTCTCCTACATACTGCTGGGAATTTCCTATGTCTTTAACATAACTGTCTTTCCTAGCTCCCCCAGATCTTCCCCTGAAAATTCTTTCATACCTATGGCTTAAGATTTCCCCTCAGCTGGAGATAAATGTATCTCCAATTCTGTCCCTTTGGAATCACTACTTCTTTAAACTGCTACCCTAGCTTCTGAGTTCCTCCCTTCTATTGTGCCTTTTTGGTCAGTCTTCTATTTCTACTTCAGCTGATGACTTCAATTCTTTGGTTGCCTCAAAGAATTTCAGTGAAAGATCAAAAAAGTTCAAAGGAGTCATACTAGTTTCCATAAGTGTCTTAAAAGATAGGTCAACAAGTGTGAATTTACTATAAACATACATATCCAAAGAAATCGATTGATACCACAGATTTAAAAATATATAAAAATAAAAATGTATCATATCTCTGAATTTTTACAGATAGGTAATTAAGTGTCCAATTTCTTTTTCCTAAGTGGGTACTGGAAATTTACATTCTCCATTTATACTGATGATTATATATAATGCGAAGCCTAAAAGTCACCAAAAGTTTTAGTTACAAAGGAATAAGATAAATCACTGGTATTAAAAAGCAGCCCTGGATTTGTAAAAGAAAACAGGAATTGCAGAAAAAGGTTTTTGTACTTGAGTTACTGTCATCTAAAAATTAAGAAATTACAAGTTCCTATTTGTGATTGTCACATAAAAACTTGGGCTAAAGGCCTCTTTAGAGAACTCTTCCATTTCCAAAAAAGAAAAACATTTTATAGCTTTAAAATAAGGTAGGGAGGAAGCACCATGAAAGGTAAAAGACCTTATATCACTGTGTTCATTTTACATTGGTTTTAAGGTTACAAGCCTACTAAATGAAAATGTGGAATGGTACTTGTATCTCAGATTTAACTTAATTTTAAATATCACCAATCCAGTATCATTTCTTAGACTTAGCTTAAGAGGTCTGCAAAGTGAACAATGTGTCTAAAACATGAACAGATTAGGTATTTCAGTCAGTAAGAGAAACAGAAATGTAGTCATTTATTATTTGTGACTCTTAGGAGGTCTTGGCATTAATTTAAAAATACTACAACTTGACACTTTATAGGGACTAGAAGCATAATTCAAAATTTCATAAAGGTATATTAAATTAAAACCACTTTAGACAATTCAAGATCTCACTGACAGAGTTCGTTTAAGGTGACAGTTTTACTATTGTGTTACTGTTCCCACATGATATCATCTCTTCTCAATTTCATTTGAAGATTATGGACTTGTACTGGATGAAAGCTGCTGTTCTTCTGAAGAGAGTTAGTTAGCAAACATTTCCTGGAACTATTTTTTATGTTCTTTGATCCTTTAAGGTTGTTATCTTCTCGCTGAATACCTGAAGCTTCACTCATCTTTGACTGTTGAACTTTTTGCTGCAGTTTACGGACCTGGAAAGAAAAAAAAACCTGACATTTTAGTTAAAAAAGATATTAAAAATATACCCTAAAATAGATGGACTGGATTGATGTTATAAAGGTTACATGAAATTAAAAAGTTCATTAGGTCTTTATTTATTGAGTACCTAACACTGTGCTAGTTAGGTAAAATTATCATGAATTAAACAATCCTTGGTCTCAAAAAGCTTATTGCTTTTATTAGTGAGGGAAAAGCATACACAGGATAACTAGAGAATAATTCAGGCTGGGATAATTCTGAGTAGGACAAAAGGTGTTTATTTGAGAAGGCTAAAGTAGGACAAGATCAATATGGGCTGAGAAGTTCAATGAAAAGCTGTGAGGATGATTTATAAAGGATATGAAATGAGTAAAAACTGGAGGAAGAGAAAAGGGGAAAAAAGGACCCTTCAAGTGTATTAACAGCAAAGCAAAGATTTGGTGCTAGGAATGAGTACTGAATTTATAAAGTCAAATATATATATATATATATATATATATATATATATATATATATATTTCTGAATTTAAAGTACTACTGAATGCCAGTACAAAAAAAAGTGTCATTCGGTAGTATCTGGTAACAGTTCGGTAGACAGAATTAAGCAAAATAAAACCTATCAACTAGCTGAAATCCATTTCTGCCCAGCCTAGTCCATTACTTACTGTATTTCACTTATGTACAGGCCCAATTTATAGAACTGATCCAGACACTGTCTAAGAATCTGGTATTTGTCCACAGCCATTTTAATTGGAGATTAAATTTATATTGACGAAATGCTTGAAAATTTATACTGCTACAGCTATTATAGAAAATAAATAATATTTTTCAAAATACGATTTATGTGCATTAAAAATATGGCTATTTTTCCACTCCCTTAAAATTTCTCCTATACAATTCTAAGAAAGTGTATTAATTAAATAATCTTCACCCTAACATAATCATATAAAAAAATTGACTTACTAGAGCCTTAAAAGCCAGTAAAGTGAAAATATTTGCTTCAAAAGTGTCATTTCCTCTTTTTCTCTTTATTGGTCTTAGAAGAATAAAAGTAGTAAAATTCTGAATCCTTTATTACTTTCCTATAAAAGTAGGGAAGGCTTTATTGTGAGGTTAGCATATCACCAATTTATATGAATGTCGATTATTCCACACGCAGATAGCTACGTGATGTGATTTGAAGGTTCCTGGAAAGACTTTCTCTGCCTTCTGCTCCAGCAGGGTAATAGTGCTAATAATCCAACCTATGGAATCAATGTCTTGGGACAAATATTGTAATATTCCTTGATTTTCTGTTAAAATATTAAAATTGTTATGCCATTCTTATTAAGAATTCACATGCGAGGAGAGAGTCCCCCTTACTACCACACTATAGCTAGCTAAGCACAGGTCCCCAGGGAATGGAATACACTATTAATTGTTCTGGGAAATGAGAAATAGTGGTTTATGTATGAGAAATAGGTTTATGTATGATACTGAAGTAGAGACCTGTCAGTGTAAGGGGCTTCATTAAGGCATTAGGGGTGGGAGAGAGAAAGGGAAAGCATGTTTAAAAGGGCAACCAGGATGGCTGCAAAGCAAATTTAGTTTACCTTAAAATTTTCCCACAGCCATTTCTGAATACATAACTACACTTTCTTGTTCCTCTTACTTTACATTATCTTGGAGAGTTATGTAGGAGGCGATGTTATTCCAATGGACAGATGGCTCTATAACAGGCTTAAGGGACTCCTGTCATCTTTTCACTAAGCCACACATACAGACCTCAAATTTGAAAGATCATATAGAGATATAACACTGACTACAGATATATTATCTTTTTATTAAAATCTTTTACTAAAGCCTTCTTACATTTTCTTGATGCTTTATCAGTTTGGAAATCTGTTCTCCTTTAATTTCCATTTTCTTGACTAAATGTTCTAGTTCACATTCTAGGTCTTCACGGACTGAATGACTTTCAGTTTCCTTCATTTGATTCAGTAGTTCTTCGTGCTTCCTATGAAAGAAAAGCAAGTATCAACTCTGATATGGCTTATACCATATGCCTTTGATATAATTAAACAATATTCTGTTCAATCATAAATTTTTGTCAGTTAGATATTAATTTTCAAAGATAGTCTCTTTATGTAGAGTTATCTAGTTAAATCTATGGTAAATATAAAAGGCTCTTATGATTTGGGGTTAGATAAATTTAGAAATATCTTTGACTTAGGGTCTTAAAGAACCTTAAAGTCTAAATTTTCGACGTTCATAGCTAAACGTAATAAAATATTCTGATGTCCTTAGCTAAAAGCATTAAAGGACTCTCTTTAGTTCCAATTTTGGAATTCTTAATATAGTGTGTTTGGGAAGAACGGCAGCTATAAAAATATTTGCCTGAGAAGTCTCTAGATTTGGTGATAGTCCACAGAAAGGAATACTGTCAAGAGAACCAGTTATACCTTCTACAGAGGTCTTAGTTCAACTAGTTGGTTACCCAAATCTCATATTTTCCGGAATTTTTATTGAATATATATTTAAACTTGGGGCTTAAAATATGTATACCACTCAGAATCTTATTTACTATGGATGCTTCAAGACTTATCATTCAGATCAGTCAGAGTTGAAAACAAGGAATTGCTTTCCTACTTGTCTAATGAAATTTCATTTAATTAAAAGGATTATAAAAAAACAAAAGGAGAATCTTGCTTTTAAAAGCATTTGTGAGTTATAATTTAAAGTCACCAGACCGTATTTGTTAGAATAACAGTAGTATTTGCCTATCAGTTCAGATCTTGGGAACACAGAAACTCCTTAGATCAAAAAAGTAGTAATTACATATTTAACTTGAAAAGTTAAATACTAACAATAAATACAATGAAAAATTAGTGTCAACTCTGAAGATCAAAATAAATACAAATCTAAGCAAGGCCTTTAAGAATTCGTAAGTGGCATTGTTCTTAAGACAGAGAAGAGAAAAGATACCTATATGGCTTGCTACTTCTGAAAAACAATAAAAATACTTACATATTCATTTGGTCCAGCTCATCCTGCATTGCCATCAAAAGTTCAGACAAATTGTCACCAATAGAAATGGAATGTTTTGAGTCAGAAGGTTCAGCTTTACCCTGGGAAGTTGTTCTAATAGGCTTGTAGAGACATCGAGGCTCAGTAAGTTTCTGATGGGTATGTGGCCCATAATGTTGTGCTACCTGCAGGAGGCTTTGCATACTTGTATTCACAGAATGGCTGGCACTGGAAGACTTTAGGGGAAAAGAAATAGCTAGGAACAATTTCAAATGACTCATGACATTTAAATAGCACAACAAAGCAGGAGTGTGTCTGAACAAGTATCTTCATTTTTCCCCCCTCTCACCTTTTTTGCCACAATTGGCAGTGATCCAGACTTTGAATAAATTTGCTGAGGTGGTCGTTCCTTTAAACATCTAGTTTTCTAAATATTGACAAAGGAAAAAAGTAAACAAAAAATTGTTTAAAAGACATTTATGATATGAAGAAGTCTCAAAACTCAACAGTAAACATTCTAATAGAAAATAAGCAAAAATATGGATAGACATTTCACTGACGAAGTCATATGGATGGCAATAAACACACAGAAAGATCTGCAAGATCATTAGCCATTAGGAAAATTCAAGTTACAATGATATAGCACTATACAGCTATCAGAATGACCAAAATAAAGAATAGTGACCACGCCAAATGTTGGCAAAGATGTGGAAAAGCCAGATTGCTTATGTATTATTTGTAGGAATATAAAATTATATAGCAACTTTAGAGAATAATTTGAAAGTTTCTTACACACAACTGATGAATTATTGAACACTACATCTGAAACTAATGATGTACTATGTATTGGCTAATTGAATTTAAATAAAAGAAATGTTTTTAAAAATAAAGTTTCTTGCAAAACTAAACACGTACTTATCATATGATCCAGCAATTACACTCCTGGACATTTATTCCAGAAAAATGAAAACTGATGTTCATGCAAAAACCTATACATAAGTGTTCATCACAGCTTTATTTGTAATAGTTAAAAAGTGCAAACAATCCAAATGTCCTTCAATAGGATCCAGTAAATATCAATACATTCTTTTTATTTCTGTGTAGTATTTCACATTATGGATATACTACAGTTTAATCACTGATAGCAAAGCCATCTGGACCAAATAAGTACATAAGTATTTTAATTTTTTTTTAGTATTTTAATTTTTTAAAAAAGATTTTTATTTATTTATTTATGAGAGACACAGAGAGAGAGAGGCAGAGACACAGGCAGAGGGAGAAGCAGGCTCCACGCAGGGAGCCTGATGTGAGACTCGATCCCGGGCCTCCAGGATCACACCCTGAGCTGAAGGTGGCGCCAAACCGCTGAGCCACCGGGACTGCCCAGTATTTTCATTTCTTATTAGAAGAAGTAGCAAGATATACAGGTATCTTTTTTCTTCTCTGGCTTAAGAACAATGCCACTTATGAATTCTTAAAGGCCTTGCTTAGATTTGGATTTATTTTGATCTTCAGAGTTGTCATTGATTTTTCATTGTATTTATTGATAGTATTTAACCTTTCTTTTCTTTTTTTTTTTTTAAAGATTTTATTTATTTATTCATGAGAGACCAGAGAGAGAGAGAGAGAGAGAGGCAGAGACACAGGCAGAGGGAGAAGCAGGCTCCATGCAGGGAACCTGATGTGTGACTCGATCCCGGGTCTCCAGGATCACACCCTGGGCTGAAGGCAGGCACTAAACCACTGAGCCACCCGGGCTGCCCAGTATTTAACTTTTCAAATTAAATATGTAATTACTACTTTTTTGATCTAAGGAGTTTCTGTGTTCCCAATATCTGAACTGACAGACAGATGTTACTGTCATTCTAACAAATACAGTCTGGTGACCTTAAATTACATAAAATTGCTTCTAGGATCTATTGTGTTGTTATCATATGTTGTGTCATTTAAAACTCTTTTATAAAGTATTACAGTATTTATTTCTATGAGTTTAGTTCTAGGGGCAGCTTGAGGGAGGTCCTGATCCCTCCGTGCCTGTGTCTGGCAGAGCTAGTGTGAGACGAAGAGAGAATCCTTTCTTGTGCTTGGATAATCAAGAGTTTTGGCTCAGCCTTTGGGCACATACTGAGGTGAGGAGCCAGATAAAAAGCACAGGTTGTGGCACTGAAATGGATTAATAAGGAACTTAGTGATTTGGCCCATGACCCTCTAGCACAATGTTCTCCAAGTCCTGTTGGAGATTATATATTTCATTAGCAAGTGACAATTATGGAACCTAATGATATCAAAGTGGTATATTCTTTTTGACAATCCATTTTCCTACAGTCTACTCTTTCAAACCAGCTAAGGTTACATTTAAAAGAAGAATTTAGCCAAATATTAACAGTAATGTAGCATTTGTCTCAATATTCTAAGATCATGATCTCCTGCTTTAACCATTTCTAAAATTCTTTTTTTCCATTTTTTTCACTGTTATGTGATCCTCTAGTGTCAAAGGTTACATGGGTCTATGAAATAGACAGAGATAAGTATAATAGAGTATCTTGGGAATGGACTCAGAAGTATGTCACATGATGCTACTATAAAGTCAGAATTACCTGCATTATAGCTGGAATACAATTTAAATTACCATTCCTTCCTTTTTTGATTTTCTTATCCAGCTGCTAGCTGCTCCCTTATCAGGCTTCATATTTTTAGATTTTATTTTTTGTTTATTTTCCTCCATTCATTTACATGCTTATCTGACAAAGACTTAAGTTCTTCTAGCTTTGGACAATAACTGCTTTAGAAACTAAAAAGTATTTATAAAAGAAGAGTTGCCTAAGATTCAGAATTTTTAAAAAAGAATGTATTTATTTATTTATATTTTATTTTATTTCTTTTGAGGGAGACAGGGAGAGAATGTCAAGCAAACTGCATTGAGCATTGAACCTGATGCAGGGCTCAATTCCATGACCCTGAGATTATGACCTGAGGTGAAATGGAGTCCGATGCTCAACCAATTGAGCCACCTAGGCACCTCCGAGATTCAGAATTTTTTAAAAAATGAAGCATGTGCATTATGTGGCCAGTGTCTTTACTCTAACTTGGCCATGAAACCAAAACCATTCCTCACTGTTCTAACATGCTGAAGAAATCATCTGAGGGGAAGGGAGATGGATGCTCAGTTGTCACATCAAAGGAAGTAACATTATTCAAGTATCCATTCTTTTTTAAGCTTTCCACTGAGAGAGATCTGAAGTTACATGATATACTTTATGCTCATGAGTGATATGACTGGAAAATTGGTATTAATTTATAGCATCAGCAGAACAGAAACTATGATGTATTTTATACATGTTAATAAAGGAATGATATATTCTTATTCTACACAGACTGGAAACTGGAAGTCAAATACCCTCTGCATTCCAAAAAAGGGTCTCAAATATTTTTAAATTTTCATTTAAATTTATATTGTTAGGCGGCTTGGAGCTATTAGTTAGTCTACCAATACACTGTTTAATTAGCACTGAATAAATGATGCAAGTTGTCAGTGGACAAGTGATCAACTAATAGCTCTCCTGATAACTTATTTTTCTTGCAATAAAATTGCATAAATAGCAAAAAAGAGTTTGGTACTAGTAAAATGTCTATATTTCTAGAAAAATTGGAATGCTTATTGTTATTTCACAAATTTACTGACTGTCATATAGTCCTTTTTGTTTTGGTTGTCACGTAAAATCAAAACTAGATTTTGTGCTCAACTGCTGATACTTTATTTAACCTAGGTTTTATGGAATTTTCTAACCTCAAACCTAAAACCATCATCACTCAACTTAGGTTTTTTTCTGTATTTTATAGCATTATTGCATGCTTTTTATTATAAATATCTTCAAATTCTTTTTGGAAATGGATAGGCATAAATATTAAAAGAGTAAAGAAATAAGCATTAGTAAATAAGAATTAAGTTTCTGCATACCTTCAAAGATTTCTTCTTCTCCTTGGAGCTTTTTGGATTTGATACTGAAGACATTAAAATTCTATTGATTTCAAGTCCAGTTTGAAGCTACAATATTAAAGACAAAGCTTTATACAGCTAATTTTTTTTATACAACTAATTTTTAACAAGCTACTTCAAAAACAATATAATAAGAAATTAGGTCTCAGTTTATGAAGACAAAAGTGCTTGGGACACCTGGGTGGCTCAGTCAGTTGAATGTCCAGCTCAGGTCATGATTTCAGGTTGTAAGCCTGAGCCCTGTGTCAGGCTCTGTGCTCAGCACTGAGTTTGCTTGAGATTCTTTGCCTCACCCTCTCCCTCCCCAAACTCATGCTCTCTCTTTCTCTCTCTAAAATAACAAAAATCAAAAGTAAATAAAATAAAATAAAATAAAATAAAATAAAATAAAATAACAAAAATCTTTTTTTAAGAAGTACTTCTTAAGGAAGAAAAGAAAACCCCAAATACTATTTTTGTATGTGAAATCTACTAAGTCTGTTGGTAATTGCAACCATTTTATTTATAAGAGAATGCATTATTTAATACATATATATCAATCAAGCTGAAAACAATCTATATCAGGAATTATTTCATATATATATGTCAGAATTTCAAAAGACTACAAGATCTCTCTTGGCAGTGCATCCAAGTATATAAATATACTGACTGACTTATTGAGAATCTCATTATCATAGTAAAAGGAGACAAAACTAACAAGCTAGGAAGCAGAAATTATAGTCTAAAATATAGGCTGCAGATAATGAAAACAAAATATAATAAAACATATGTGGTTTATTGTGACAAATGACATAATTCTCTATTTACTTCAGATGCTTTGTCTTGAAATAGCTTACGCTGATGTTCTTCTTCCTTAAGTTTTTCCTCTAAATGTTTAATCTTGTCCTGCAAAAGAATGAAAAAAACTGGGATTATTTTTATTTTATTTTATTATTTTTTAAATAATAAATTTATTTTTTATTGGTGTTCAATTTGCCAACATACAGAGTAACACCCAGTGCTCATCCCGTCAAGTGCCTCCCTCAGTGCCCGCCACCCAGGCATCCCCCACCCCCTGCCCTCCTCCCCTTCCACCACCCCTAGTTCGTTTCCCAGAGTTAGGAGTCTTTATGTTCTGTCTCCCTTTCTGACATTTCCTACCCATTTCTTCTCCCTTCCCCTATTCCCTTTCACTATTATTTATATTCCCCAAATGAATGAGACCATATAATAAAACTGGGATTATTAATATAAAAACTAGAGCCAAATAGCCTTTATTCTTTTTCCCAATAGTCTTTGGAGTCTTGATTCTTAATAGTTCAGTAAATTAAAGCAGAAAGTAAGAAAAAGAAATAGCAAAGATGCTATGATTTTTCTTGGTTTTCTTCCTATGCTTCTTTACTTGCTATTACATATAAGAAAAATAAAGGGAAAGCAAAGACTATATCTGCAAACACATTATTAACTTCTAGCAACAAAACTGTAATGATGGAATTTTGGGGGGTACTAAAGGTCTAGAAAGTCAAATGATCATAGTCTTGGGTCTCAATGTTTCATTCAAAACATAGAAAAATCCTGGGGATCCCTGGGTGGCTCAGCAGTTCAGTGCCTGCCTTTGGCTCAGGGCGCGATCCTAGAGTCCTGGGATTGAGTCCTGTGTCAGGCTCCCAGCATGGAGCCTGCTTCTCCCTCTGCCTGTGTCTCTACCTCTCTCTCTCATGAATAAATAAATAAATCTTTAAAAAACAAAACAAAACATAGACAAATCTCCACAAATGTCTACTGTGTGCATATTACTAAGGGTGTAGTTGTTGGAGGAGGGAAGGATAGGTAGACATATTAGAAATATAAGATATTGACTACAGCAAAATAAAAAGCTTCTGCAAAGCAAAGGAAACAGTCAATAAAACTAAAAGTCAGACTACAGAATAGGAGAAGATATTTGGAAATGACATATCTGATAATGAGTTAGTACCCAAAATATATAAACTTATGAAACTCAACACTCCAAAAATGAATAATCCAGTTTAAAAATGTATAGAAGACATGAATAAATATTTTTCCAAAGAAGACATCCTGATGGCCAAAAGACACATGAAAAGATCCTCAACATCACTGATCATCAGGGATATACAAATCAAAACTACCATGCAGTATCAACTCACACCTGTCAAAATGGCTCAAATCAACAACATAAGAAACAACAGGTGTTGGTGAGGATATGGAGAAAGGGGAACCCTTGTGCACTGCTGGTGGGAATGCAAACTGGTGCAGCCTCTGTGGAAATGAGTATGGAGGTTCCTCAAAAAGTTAAAAATAGAACTACCCTATGATCCATCCCGCAATCACACTACTAGGTATTTACCCAAAGGATACAAAAATGATAATTCAGAAGGATGCATACACCTTGACTTTTTTTTTAATTTAAATTCAATTTGTCAACATATAGTATAACACCCAGTGCTCATCCCATCAAGTGCCTCCTTAGTGCCCGTCACCCAGTCAGGCCATCTCCCCATCCACCTCCCCTTCCTCAACCCTTTGTTTCTCAGAGTTAGGAGTCTCTCATGGTTTGTCTTCCTCTCTAATGTTTCCCCACTCAGTTTCCTTCCTTTCCCTTATAGTCCCTTTCACTATTTATTATATTCTATATATGAGTGAAACCATATGATGACTGTCCTCCAACTGACTTATTTCACTCAGCATAATACCCTCCAGTTCTATCCAATCAAAGCAAATGGTGGGTATTCATTCTTTCTGATGGCTAATACTCCATTGTATATATTCCACATCTTTGTCCATGCACCTTGACATTTATAGCAGCATTATCTACAATAGCCAAACTATGCAAACAACTCAAGTATCCATCAGCTGATGAATGGATAAAGAGATGTGTGTGTGTGTGTGTGTGTATGTATGTGTATTTATATATATTTATATGGACTATTACTTGGCCATAAAAAAAGAATGAAATCTTGCCACTTGCAACAACATGGATGGAATAAGAAAGTTTTAAATACCAAAGGACAAATATACTAGGAGAGAAGATAACTGAGAAAAGGTGGCAATGATTTTTGCAACACAGAAAAGTAGATGGCTGACTTCCAACCTTACTTTGCAAGGCAGAAAGAGCTGAAATTTCACTAGAGAGTATAATGCTAAGTAAAACAAGTTAATCAGAGAAAGGTAAATACCATTATGATTTCACTTATATATGGAATTTAAGAGACAAAGAGCAAAGCGGAAAAAAGAAAGACAAATCAAGAAACAGACTCTTAACTATAGAGAACAAACTGATGGTTACCAGAGGGAGGTGGGGGGTATTCAATAGGTATTGGGGATTAAGGAGTACTTTTGCTGCGATGAGTACTAGGTGATGCATAGAACTGTTGAATCACTATATTGTACACCTGAAACTAATATTACACTGTATGTTTACTAGTTAGAATTTATTTATTTTTTAAAAAGATTTATTTGAGACAGAGAGAGTGCAGGAGTGGGAGGAGGGGTAGAGAGAGAGAAAGAATTCCAAGCAGACTTCCCACTTAGTGCCAAGATCAGTACAGAGCTTGATAGCACGGCCATGAGATCACAACTTGAGCTGAAACCAAGAGCTGGATGCTCAACTGACTGACCCTGGAGCTCCCTCTAACTGGAATTTAAATGAGAACTTAAAAAAAGAAGAATAATTTTGTGACAAGATATGGTGATGAATATTAACCAGACTTAACTGTGGTGATCATTTTGTAAAATATACAAATATCAGAAAATACAAATATCAAATTATGTTGTACACCTGAAACTAATATAACATTTTGTGTCGATTTTATCTCAATTTTTAAAAAGATGGAAAAAAAAGAAACATAAGATCTGTTCCTTGTTAAGAGCTTATATTGTACTTAGGGAAACAGTAAACATACATGAAACAACAAAATAATATAATAAAAAACAATATTACAATTTGACTCAGAACATGTATATACTTATACATGTATTTCATCTTCTATCCTGGTATGGCTCAGAACATGAGGACAATACCATACAAAGGAAGAGCTCCCCGAGTGTTGGAGAACTCAAGGAAGGCTTCACATAGGAAGCAGGACCTGCAGAAAGTCCTATGAGATGGATAAAATTTGGGTGGAAAAGAAAGAGAGCATTTCAGGATGGGATCAAAGATAGACTTAACTGTAAGTGGTGAAAGACAATCTTTTGGATATCCTTTAGGCAAATTATCTGACAAATGAAAATGTTCTGTCATTTTAGAAGGAGCCAACATTACCATTTTACATCAAAGGCAAGCTCATTCATGCCATGACAGAGTACATTAGCTGTTTATCTCCATGGGCAGAAATTCATATCTGGATTACTAAGAGCTATTAAAAAAGTTTTACAAATCAGATTTACTGTATATTCACATATAGGGCCAATAATGCTTAACACTAAAGATTTATTCCTGGTATTATCACTTCAAAGAAATAAGTGAAACCTTACCTCAGCAGTTTTCTGAGTTGTTGTAAGTTTAAAACATTCTTTTTCTAAGACATCAAGCTTTTCAAGTTTTGCTTGCAGCTTCATATGATCTTGTTCTTTTTCCCTTTGAAGCTGGGCCTGGAAAGGATAAAAACAAAATCCGAATTTGGCAAGTGATGCCAACGGCTCAAGAACAATACAATTTCTGAGAATTAAAGCATAATAAATCTGTCATAAGAAACACGTATATACATGTATATACTTTAGGTGCTTATGAGTAAAAAACAAGAAAATCAAATACTTTTAAATAACATAATATGCAACATACATACATAGATACATACATACACAAACATAATGTACAAAAAGATGAGCTATATTAGCATAAATGGAATAAATTCTTCGATGCATGTTTATATAACATTTCTACTAAGGAAAATATCATCCGTGAAACCTGTATTAAATAAACTGTTACCGGTATGGTGACCGAAACCACATTTTATCTTATCCTCTAAATATGTTAAATATAACATTCAAAAGCAGCTATCAGAGGAATAAAGCATATAGAGAAACTGGAGAATAGGAAAGCTATACATATATTTTCACATCTATACACTGTTTTGTAATGGTATTTATCACCACACTAATGCAATGTAGTTAATAATAGGGACAACTGTGAGGGGGCAGGAGGTATATGAGAACTCTCTGTACTATCTGCTCAATTTTAAGCTTAATACTGCTCTAAATGAATAAAGTCTATTAAAAAACAAAAAACTGAAGCAATCAGTAAACAGTCTTGGTGACCTGTGGTCTTACATTCAAATGGTGTTACAGAAGGAGAAAAGAGGGAGGTCAGATAAGGATAATGGCTAAAAAAGTACCAAATTTGACAAAAAATATTAACTGACAGATTCAATATTAATAATAATAAATTTAAAAACCCAAACAGAATACATACAAAGATAACCACATTTAGGCACATCATTTTTTTTTCATTTGTGTTAATTGAAGTTCCATTTGCCAACATATAGTATAACACCCAGTGCTCATCCCATCAAGTGCCTCCACAGTGCCCATCACCCAGTCAGGCTATCCCCCCACCCACCTCCCCTTCTTCAACCCTTTGTTTCTGAGAGTTAGGAGTCTCTCATGGTTTGTCTTCCTCTCTAATTTTTCCCACTCAGCTCCCCTGCTTTCCCTTATAATCCCTTTCACTATTTCTTATATTCCCTATATGAGTGAAACCATATGATGACTGTCCTCCAATTGACTTACTTCACTCAGCATCATACCCTCCAGTTCCATCCACGTCAAAGCAAATGATGGGTATTTGTCCTTTCTGAAGGCTGAGGAATATTCCATTGTATATATAGACCACATCTTTTTTTTTTTTTTTTTTTTTTTTTACCACATCTTCTTTATCCATTCATCTGTCAAAGGACATCATGGCTCCTTCCACTGTTTGGCTATTGTGGACATTGCTGCTATGAACGTTGGGGTGCAGGTGTCCCAGTGCTTCACTACATCTGTATCTTTGGGATAAATACCCAGTAGTGCAATTGCTGGATTGTAGCGTAGCTCTATTTTTAACTCTTTGAGGAACCTCCACATGGTTTTCCTGAGTGACTGTACCATTTTGCATTCCCACCAACAGTGGAAGAGGGTTCCCCCTTCTCCACATCCTCTCCAACATTTGTTGTTTACTGGCTTGTTAATTTTCACCATTCTCACTGATGTGAGGGGGTATCTCATTGTGGTTCTGATTTGTATTTCCCTGATGGCCAGTGATGTGGAGCATTTTCTCATGTGCTTTTTGGCCATGTGTAGGTCTTCTTTGGAGAACTGTCTGTTCATATCTTCTGCCCATTTCATGATTGGATTTTTGGTTTCTTGGATGTTGAGTTTATAAATTCTTTATAGATTTTGGATACCAGCCCTTTATCTGTCATTTGCAAGTATCTTCTCCCATTCTGTAGGTTGTCTTTTAGTTTTGTTGACTGTTTCTTTTGCTGTGCAGAAGCTTTTTGTCCTGATTAAGTCCCAATAGTTCATTTTTGCTTTTGTTTCCTTTGTCTTCATAGATGTATCCTGCAAGAAGTAACTGTGGCCAAGTTCAAAAAGGTTGTTGCCTGTGTTCTCCTCTAGCAAAAGGATTCTTGCTAGAATCCTTTGTGATGGATTCTTGTCTCACATTTAGATCTTTCAACCATTTTGATTTTATCTTTGTATATGATGTATGATGTAAGAAAATGATCTAATTTCATTCTTCTGCAGGTAGCTGTCCAATTTTCCCAACACCATTTATTGAATAGACTGTCCTTCTTCCAGTGGATATTCTTTCCTGCTTTGTCGAATATTAGTTGACCATAGAGTTGAGTGCCTATTTCTGGGTTCTCTATTCTGTTCCATTGATCTATGTGTCTGTTTTGTGCCAGTACCATACTGTCTTGATGATCATAGCTTTGTAATACAGCTTGAAATCCGGCATTGTGATGCCCCCAGCATTGGTTTTCTTTTTCAATATTCCCCTGGCTATTCGGGGTCTTTTATGACTCCATACAAATCTCAAGATATTTGTTCCAACTCTGTGAAGAAAGTCCATGGTATTTTGATAGGAATTGCACTGAACATGTAAATTGCCCTGGGTAGCATAGATATTTTTGCAATATTTATTCTTCCAATCCATGAGCATGGAATGTTTTCCCACCTCTTTGTGTCTTCCTCAATTTCTTTCATAAGTGTTCTGTAGTTTTTAGGGTATAGATCCTTTACCTCTTTGGTTAGGTTTATTCCAAAGTATTTGATGGTTTGGGGTGCAATTTTAAATGGGATTGATTCCTTAATTTCTCCCTCTTCAGTCTCATTGTTAGTGTATAGAAATGCCACTGATTTCTGTGCTTTGATTTTTGTATCCTGCCACATTGCTGTATGAGTTCTAGCAATGTTGAGGTGGAGTCTTTTGGGTTTTCTATATACAGTATCATGTCATCTAGGCATATCATTATCAAATTGTTGAAAACCAGTGATAAAGGGAAAACTTTAAAAGCAGCCTGAGAAATGATGATACGTTATACACAGAAGAATGAAGATAAGAATTCTCATTAGAAACCATGAAATCCAGAAGACAACTTTGACCATATCTTTAATGTGCTGAGAGAAAAAAAAAAAGTTGTCAACTAGAATTTTATATGCAGTGAAAAATCCTTCATCAATAATGGTGAAATACAGACTTTTCCAGAAAAATATAGGCTAAGAGAATTCCCAGCATACTTGTAAAGGAAGTACTTGGCCTGGAGGAAATGACACCAGACATAAAATCAAACATACACAAAATAATAAAAACATTGGAAATGGTAAAAACGTTAATAGATACATATTTCATTTTGTTTAAGTTTTCTTCAAAGAATAATTAACCCTCTAAAGCAGAATAGCGATGTATTGTGAGTTTTATAACAAACATAAATAAAATGTATGAAAGCTGTAGAGCAAAGGGGGACAAGTGGAAGCATACTTAGTAAGGACTGCAAATTATATTGAAATATCTTAATACTAATTCGTGGCAGACTATGGTAAGTTAAGAATACATATTCTATGCTGTACAGCAGCAACTAAAAAGAAGGAGGAGGAGAGAAGTATCAGAGGATGAGGAGAATTCAATAAAATTTAAAAGGAAATCACCAAAGAAGTTAGAAAATATTTTTAGCTGAATGATAATGAAAATACAAAATATCAAAATCTGTGGGATGCAGGTAAAATAGTTTAGAGGGAACTTGATAGCTTTCATTATAAAATACAACATTTAAATGAAAGAATAAAAGTTTTAAAATCAATCATCTAAGCTTCCAACATACAAAGCTAGGGGGAGAAAAGGAAAGAAACAGGAAAGAAATAATAAAGTGGAAATCAATTAAGTAGGAAATAACAAAAAAAATTAAAAACAAAAATACTGCTTTTTTGAAAAAAAAACAATAAAATTGATAAAAGTGATAGGTAAACTGATAATTTTAAAAAGGAGAATATAAATTAGCAATATCAGAAACAAAAGAAGGGACATCTTGAAAGGCACAAAAAGAAACAGAAAATTCACGTAGTCCTATACCTGTTAAATAAATTGAATTCATAATTTAAAAACAGTCTACAAAGAAAACTACAATCCCAGATAGCTTCTGTCAAATTTGAATTCTATCACATATTTAAGGAAGAAATAATGCTAATCTTAAACAAGATCTTTCAGAAAACAGAAGAAGGAATTGTTCCCAACTAATTTTATGGAAAACAAATAAACAAATCTTGGCATATCTGTATAATAAAATTCTATACAGCAATAAAAACAACAAAAAAAAACTATTGATACATACAACAACATGGATTAATCTAAAAGACTTTATGCTAAACAAGAGAGTACATTTTCTATTATCCTATTATATAAAATTCCAGGACAAACAAAACCTCTAAGGTAAAATAAATCAGAATAGTAGCTGCCTTGTTGGGAGGTGAGGAGAGAACAGAAAATGTCCTGACAGAGATATGAGAGAATTTCTGTTATTTGGTAGGGCTATGGATATATCAGTTTATTTATCAATAATCACTTAACTTTACACTTAAGATCTGTACATTTCACTGTATGTAAATATCTCAAAAAAAAAACACTTAAAAACTGTTAAAAATCACTGATCTACAATATTTAGCTAGGACAGGAATTTCTAGGTTATTTTATAAGACAAAATAACTGAACTTTATAAAGTGCTTGCTCTTCTAGTTGTTGTACCCTCACTTATAAAACCCAAAATTATCAGCCTTATACATTTTTTCCAAATTGGTGGATGTGTGCCATGTTGTGCTGTTAATTTGCATTTTCCTAGTTACTAATAAGAATGAAAATTCTTCTATAAATGACCATCTGTGATTTTTTCCTATAAAATGCCTCTTTATAATTGAGCTCATTTTTCTACTGTTTTGTTACTTATGTCTTGTTTAAGAAATTTTTCTCCACCCCAAGGTCATCAAGATACTGTTCTCTATTTGTTTTTAAAAATTACAAAGTTTTGCTTTTTACATGTAAATCTTTAATCCACCTGGAATTGATTTTTTTTGTGTGATGTAAGGTTGGGATCCAATTTCATTTTTTTTTACCCCCT